ATTTATACTCTTGGGATGGCCTAAAGAGGTTCCTAATGAGCTACGATCCTTCGTGCAAGGTAAAATTGAACTCAGCTTACACGACGGTTGTATTTTCTGGGGAAGCCGCATAGTTATACCCCGAAGGGCACGACCATAACTGTTGCGTGAACTGCATGATGCTCACACTGGTGTTACCCGAATGAAAGCCCTAGCAAGGGGATATTGTTGGTGGCCACGGATTGATCAAGATATTGAGGATTTCAAGTGATTGCACACGTGTTGAAGTGGCTGAAGTGGGCCAGGGAAGATTAAGTGCTTGCACAAATTTCTTCTGGGCGCACAAGGGGGGTNTGTGAATCCGAATACTTACGACTTCGGCCGTGGCTAAGATACGATACTTCACTGCTTTTGATTGCCTGCATCGAACCTTGTAAATCGGTCGGAAGGCGTCTGCCACATTTACCGAGTGATCTGACTCAACGAGATGCAAACACACCGCTCTCGTGATTGTCTTAATTGTTCCAGTCCTCAGCCAAGCCGGGTGGTGTTCGCGAACGCGACCGGGTAAGCGCCTGGGGCCGATGTACCCAGTCCCACAGGAACAGGTGAATGAATATACACAAAATGAATGCAGAATCTGGCACTCTATCCTTCAGTCGGAAACACAAAGTCGGTTTAAATGTGAACATAGCTTTGAGTTGTGCAGCGTAAAATGTTCTCCTTACTGCACTTATTAGCTTTCTTTGAAAGGCTTCTGCCTCTGTATCTCCCTTGAACGGTAGGTGCACATAGACCGACTTCTTCGCTGCTCCTATTTCCTTTGGCCGTTCTTCGTGTTCTAGCATTGCACTATCGATAAGTCGTTCGGGATAGCCATTCTGAGCAAAAGCAGTGCGTAGGAACTGAAGTTCACTGTCAATAATGTTCATCGTGCATATTTTCTTCGCTTATTGAACCAGGGAGCGAATTAGGTTTCTCTTCCTCTGAAGAGAGACAAAACTATGGAAATGGATATATCGTCCATTCCACGTTTCTTTTCTATGCACCGATAACTGAACAGAGTTATCACTGCGGCGTCGTATGAGTATGTCTAGAAAGGCTATACTATTATCCCCTTCTTTTTCCAGAGTAAACTTTATGTTGGGTTGGACATTATCGAACTCCTCAAGCAATCGATTAGTGTCCAGATTGGCGTCTAATATACGCAACACATCATCAACATATCGTCTATATAGGGTGCACTGTCTGATATAGAGCTTCAGGGGATCATTCTCTCGTTTGGCCATAAGCGTGTCAGCAAATAATGGTCCCAAAGGTGATCCCATTGCAACCCCGTCCTTCTGGCGATATAGTTCACCATTGAATTGAAACTGGACGTTGTGCATGCATACGAATAACAATTGTTTCAGATCATCCAATGGAATGCCCACATCGATGTTGTTCCTCTGAATAAATCCACATATGTGATTGATAGTTTCACTAATTGGTACATTTGTGAATAAAGAAGTAACGTCAAATGACATCATCTGTTTGCCTTCGAGTTTGAGGTCCTTCACCATTTCTACCAGGTGAAACGTGTCTCGTACACTGTGCTTGCAAATTGCGAGTCTTACTGGTTCCAGTACGCCTGCTAACCATTTCGCAACGGCGTGATACGGGGAGTTGCCCATATCTAGAATTGGTCTAATAGGGACACCCTCTTTGTGTACTTTCGGAAGTCCATACAATCTCGGAATTGTTGTACCCGTTGGTCGTATTTTCTTGAACGTTCCTGCATCGACTGTTCCTTTTTGCTTCAGACACCGTAATCGCGTGGAAATCAATTTTTCTATCTGAATCGTCTTATCCATTTCACTTAGAGTCTTTGTAAACTTGGATGGATCATTCAATGTCGTCCTCATCTTCTCTATGCAATCAGACCTTTTCATGATTACAATACCTGCACCTTTGTCTGGTCTTGATATCATCAATTCTCTATCGGCTTGCAACTCTCTAAGACGCTTCAGGTGTTCCAAAGTTAGCAGTCCTTTCGTTGATGGTTTACGATCGCGATATTGGTAACATGAGCTCACAAGTGTGGATTTAAGTTTATCTAACTCCCGCGAAGAGGATTGCGCCGGTCCAGATAGCTGAGCGAATAAACTCTCAAATTCAACTTCCAAATCTAATTGCTTAGTCCTTCTGGTTGGACAACAGAATTTTGGCCCAAGAGATAGCACTTCAAGCAAAGTCTTGTCTAAGTTTACAGACGACAAGTTATGGACAAACCTGTGCGGATCTGCTGGGAACTCACCAACCAGTTTGCTAGGGTTGACACATTTTCGTAATGCTGTACGTATCCGTTAAACTTTCTTGTTTGCAATCGATTAAACCTAAGCCACAAATTCCGTTTCCTCCTCTGCAGCCAGCTCATCCAAGACACGGGAAGATTTCAAGAAATTTCGCTCCATCTCGAGTAAACGGATGGATAAGGTATTTCGTTGGTTAAGTGCTTGGTGACCTAGAAACATATTAGTGATGTTGACACAATTTCTTCGTAACACAGTTCGGTATTGTTTAGGATATTCCAAGTTTGATATAAACTCATCGAGAAATTGAATACGAGCATTTGCCATAGCCAATTTCGCACGGAACTTAAGGTAACTGTTAAATTCACGGAGTACGGATGGGTCTTTGGATTGTTTCAATCGTTTCATTAGTCCCAGAGAACACATTCAAAACAGAAGAAATTGGTGCAAGCACTTAATCTTCCCTGGCCCACTTCAGCCACTTCAACACGTGTGCAATCACTTGAACCTTTGACACTGTGATCAATTTTCACATAGTGAGGATTTATTACGGAAGTGTGATGTATGCCAGAAGTACCAACGTCAAAACCCTCCAGGTCCTATTCATCCGTGGCGTTGGCCAGATAAACCGTGGCATAGTATACATGCAGATTATTTTGGCCCTATAAACGAAATCATCTACCTGGTCATAGTCGATGCTTACTCGAAGTGGATAGAAGTTCATCCAGTTAGTCATGCTACGGCAGAGGCTACGGTTTCCAAGATGCGTTCTTCGTTTGCAACATTCGGAATTCCAGAAACAATTTGCACAGACAATGGAACACCGTTTACCAGTGAAGAGTTTCAAAAG